AGCAAAATTGTCCAAATCGTGTTACTTCATAATAGGAAATCCCACAAAATGTTTAATGTCTAAAGAACCACTAAACTAATTGAGTTTCTTTTTTCTAGGTTTTCAAATAATACATTTAGCCGTCTTGATACAATTTGTCGTAAGAATCACTGAAACATCCTTTGAGTTATTCAGCTAGAAATAAAACAGGTTAAAATCATTTTATGTCAGCCCTACTGACTTCCAATTGTGAGAGGATAAATTCATTCAGGCCTTCAGTAATTGTGCCAATATTCATACTCTGCCTTCCATCTTGAAAGTCCATTCAATAAGCATCAAGTGAAAGGCGAAAAAGTTTAAAAAAGAGTTAACAGCAGAGAGGAAAACTGGATCAGGAGGTCATAATTGGAAGAGGGATCATCATTTCAAATTAGAGCTAAGGAGATCATTTAGAAAATATCCAACTCAGCCCATAAAACCTAAGAGAGGAGTTTTACTTATGACAATCCAAACAGAAAAAAACTTGAAAATGAAATCGTACGTTAAATGCTTGAGGAATCTTGTTACTTCAGGACAGAAAGTTAGAAGGTTAGAGAAAGCAAAAATTATCTTGAATAAGTTGGAAAAGGATCCTGCAAATATGTATAAATATATTTTTATTTAATTCAGTCTTTCACAAGTTTCAAATCCTTAGCTATGATTAATTAATGATGAACATGTCATATTCGTTTATGATCGATTTCATCACGATTATTCTGTTAAGCTTGGAGAGTAATTATACAATCATATTGCTCAAAGTAGTGTCTAATAGTGTTATGAAACCTCGGAGAAATTCAAGATATTTTTAATCACTTGTAAGATACAAGGGTTCAAAACTTAATCTAATAATTGGACAATTTTACTGTTACACGATTTCGACAATTTTGCTGTTACACCCGGTACGTACAAAATCAGTCAAAAGTAGCACCAGATTCTGTGGTACCATATTGCTAATCTTTATTTTGCGGTTACCTTTCTTTATAAGTTAATTCCTTTTGTTTTTGTTTTGCAGGTTATTGATGATTGTTTGGAAAGTTACTGAATTTGCACCAAATTAAACAATAAAGTGTTTCAGTTAATCAACACATTGCTCCTTTGAAATGGGCGCTACTTTTAAATCTCCCTATATATATATATATATATATATATATATATATATATATATATATATATATATATATATGATAAATGATATCTTTATATATCTAAGAAAAGAAAGGCAAAAATATTTTTCCGTGTGATGCGTTTCGTTCTTTTGGATTCCTTTAAAGTAAAGTGATATTACGTGACTGTGATTACATATACGCATGAAGGAGAGGGACGCTGAAATTTTAAATTTTAATTCACTTTCTTTTCTAGCCCATTCCATATTCCATTTATTCATGCGCATGTGTAAACATATCACAGTAATCATGAAAACATCGCTTAAGTTCGACGAAATCCTAAAGGACGAAAGATGTCACAGGAAACTTTTTTCTTGATTGTCATTGATTTCTCTTACACACACACATATGTATGTATGAGTGTGCGTGTGTGTGTGTGTGTATTTGTGTGCGTGTGTGTCTGTGTGCCTATGACAATTTTTAAGTAAAAAATGATATCTTTTTGATGTATGATTGGTATGATCATGTGTGATATCCTTTTGATGTATGATTGGGGTGAAAGTGTGTTATATCCTTTTCATGTATGATTAGTGTGATGCTGTGTGATATCCTCTTGATGTGTGATTGGTGTGATGCTGTGTGATATCCTTTTGATGTGTGATTAGTGTGATGGTGTGATATTCTTTTGATGTATAATTGGTGTGATGCTGTGTGATATCCTTTTGATGTATGATTGGTGTGATGGTGTGTGATATACATTTGATAAGTGTCCGTTCTATTCACTTGCGTGCAAATACCTATGGGAAAGCTTTGAATCTATCTTTTCACCTCCAAGCTATGAGTTAAATAGCAGGATCCTATCGCCTTGGTTGGCAATCAGTCTACCACAGAAAGTAACGGAAGCCTACTGCAGAAATATTTCTGCCAAGTCAGTCATGAATTAAAAAATGACATGAAAGTTAAAAAAAAAAACGATTTTTTTGTTATTCGAAAATGTTCTTATTTTTTCTTTCTTTCTGTCTTTCTTTCTATTTTTCTTTAATTAATTTTTTTCATTCATTCAATTATTCATTATTTATATATTTCATTTTTCGTTCTTTCTTTCATTAATTCTTTCTTTCTTTCATTAATTCTTTCTTTCTTTCATATTTTCCATTCTTTTATTTTTCTTTCATTCAAATTTTAATTCTTTCTTTCATTTTTCCATTCATTTTATCTTTCTTTCATTCTTATTTTTCATTCATTCATTCTTTCTGAGATTAATTTTTTCATTCATTCTTTCTTTCATTCATTCATTTTTTATTTACTCATTCACCCATTCTTTATTTACTATTTATTTATTAAAAGAAATCTATTATCCTCATTCCCATTTTCTTCTTTCAATATGTTCACTAAATCAGAATTTTTTTTCCATACAAATCTCTGCTATAGATTGATTTTAGCAAGGTAGCTTTTCTAACTATTCACTAATGTAATGAATTATTTTGTGTCTTTCTTGGAAACTTAACTAAATTAAGCAAATAATATCTACAGGTGTCTTGTCTGAAGGTGTGAGTTAGAAAGCTGACCTCACGGATCATTCTGCTGTATTAATTTACAACCGTATTGTGATTCATATTTGACACTGTCTCAGACAAAACGCAAAACATAATGGCTAACTCCAATTCACACAGACAATTGTTATTGTAGTGAGTTCAGACCTCACTACGAGTGCACCTACTTTTGCATCCTTGTGATAAATCTAAAATCAGTAAACATCTACGAGGTCACTATTTGAATGTTATTCCTCGTAGATCATTGGTAATACAGCGGATGTTTGCTTCACTGATTCTCTTTCTTATGATTGGTTGATTTTACAATATCTCAATCCATTCTGTTTGAATTTCTTCAAAGAGAAGTTAACGATATTTACAGTCGGATTAATGTTCTCATCGTTGTTGCTACTACCAGAACGATTCGACCGTTGTACTCTTTGGTCATCTTCAGATGTCTGTCGGTCCGGGTAACATCCAAGGCGTTTCGAACTGAACACTTTCTATAATCTAAGGGGTTAGATTGTTCACGTTCTGCTGCTCATATCTAGGGCGATATTTCAGATTGAATTTGTTAATACTACTCCGTTATTTCAAGTTGGGTAACTGCAATATTTGAATTTGTGCAACCTACTTAGAGAATAAACTCACGATTAGTATAACATCAAATTCACCAATCATCGCTTTAATCCTTTAAGTAGAGTACCAGAAAATTCAGGAAGACACAACGGTCGAAAAGTTGCGATAGTAAAAACAAAGACGAAGACACTGGTAATAGTAATGTTAATAATAACTGTTTCCTTATAAGGAAACATTCAGCATTCATTGTCGGAAGAGCCGATGCTGCTGTCGGTTGATATTTATAAAAACTTTCTCTTGAAGCGAAATTGTTTAGGAAAATAGTTTCCTTAAGTCTACTAACTGTTATTATGGCATCTGTCGGTCTCGAGAAACCACATAAATGCGCCAGTATAGTTATGCCCTCTGCAGGGTGCAAGCTTGGGAAGGTTTTGTTTTATGAGAGATCGGTACTTGCCTATGTGGTGGCGTGGACGGGGGTCTCCAGTGCTGTCCAAAGAAAAAAAAAAGGTGATTCAAATACACAAGATTTGCCAGAACGAAATTGAACATTATCTCGGGTTGACTTAGGGACTTCTCCTAATCTAGTAGCCAACCATGGCTACAGATTGCTACTATCTACTCATAGTTGAATTCAGTTTTTCTCTTTCTCCTAGACCGGTTGCCAGCCAAGGCTATGGAACAGCGTCTACTATTTAACCATAGCTGGTAGGGGATGGGAAGAAGAGTAGCAATCCATTTCTCTCGCGTGTCTCCAATACTATTCTTATTTCTTCTTTTTATATTATTGGCTTTGGCTTCCATCCTAACCATATTTCTAATTTGTGTGAAATATTAACATCTTGATAATATCATGATTTTCTCTTCGAATTACATGTGATATCTATTTTATCTGTTGCCATTGAAATTCCACAAGTAATGTGATCTTTGTTATTTGCTGCAGTTCGTTGTTTTTGATTCTGTCGATGAGGTTTGAAGTAGGATAGTCCTCGCTAAGACCTACAGGTTTCATTCGCTCGAAGCCATTTTTAATCATTGATTTGAGAACATACAGCAAACAGCTGACAGTTTAGATATAACTGAACGTGTTTGGCTCCATGTATGATGACCAAATAATATTTGACGAAACTTTAAGAATATGAAACGAGTTCATAGTTCAATGTTTTACTTTTGTATCAACTTGCATAGCCATTACTATTTTAGATTTCGTTATCTATTTCGATTGGAAATAATGTAAATTATGCTAAGCCGGGTTGAGTTATTTAATGTCGAATGCTGAACGTTGTATGGAGCATCTAGTGCCTATACAGAATCGCCATCTATATTTTGAAGCTTTGTGTTAGATTAAATTATGATTACTGATCTGGCCATTTTCCACTTTTCAACACATTTTCTCCATCTTAATGTAATCACATATCTTGATATCAGCTATGTCCTTTTGTAATTATTTCTCTATTTCTAATTTAAGTCTGGATTATTAAATGTACCAATGACTTTTTTATGGGGGATGTATCTAACTTTGATCCATTGTTTTTGATGATGAATTCATATTAACACTCACTGTGTACCTTTTTCTTAGCATCTTGTACATAAGCAGAAACGTATTCGAACAAAGTGGGAAGTGTTAATGAATCTTTTAAAATTTATTGACAATAGCAGAAACTTGTGTGTAAAAAAATCGTACTTATTTCAAATTATTCTTTCGACATTTTTATTTTTCTTTCATCTGCTTTTTCTTCGTTTTCTCTTCTCTTTTTTCACTTTAGACATGTCGGTATTTTTTTGTATGTCTCCGTTCTCTCTTTTTTTACCTTCCGGATTTTAATCATTAGTATTCTTGGGTTTTTTTTTTTTTGTTTGTTTGTTTTTTTTTTTAATTCTTTTTAAATCAGTTAAAAATATTATGCTTGTCTTCTTTCTGCGTTAAAAATACTGATATTCATCGCAATTTCTCTCTTTTCTTCTCTGGTTGCTACACTAGTGTTTTTTTCCCCCTGAAATATCGTCCTTTTTCTTTCTTCTTTTATCTATATTTTTTCTTCTTTTTATCTATATGTACTTTAGCTAATACACTTCCTTCTCTTTTTAATGAGGTTCTTTTTTTTTGTTTTGTTTTTCGTTTTCATTCTATCTTTTACGCTTTTGACTTTTGTTGCAGCTGGTTCGCAGAGGTACTCACTGAACTGTCAATCAATAATGGATTTAATTTTGTTGTGTCTTTGTCACTAGATGTTGTCTTTGTAGTTTTCAAGTTGTTAGAAAGATGTGCCGTTGATAATAAAAGTTCTTCATTCAAGAAAGTGGCGTTCCCTTCTAGTGTGGCTTTTTGGCTACATCGCGTTCAAACACCGGTTCACTTACGATGATCTAAATTATGCATTAGCGAACCCGGTCAGTACCTTGATGGGTAACCGCTTGGGAATACCAGGTGCTGTAAGATTGGATTTGAAGGGTGGCGAAATGGATAATGGCTAAGAACTTCTAATCTCTTACACGCCAATACCACTGGGAAATGTATGAATCTACATCCTTCCCCAAATATGGGTTAATTAGTAAGATTTGTATCACTAAATCATTATCAGCACCAAAAATAAAATAGAATTTTGTGCAAAATATTTAAATTTCGATATTAAATAACCCATAAAGAATGATATGCCACTAAACAAAAACAGACTTCGTGAATTTAAAAGGACTTCTGCCGTAGAGGACGCATAAGATGCCTTCCAGACAACTAAAGTATTAAGAGACAGGAAAATTTGGTTAGAAAGAAAAATGTCTTGAAGTGTTATTTTATATCAATCCTCTTATATGACAGTGAATGATGAACAATTTTCTCATAGATGAAGAAAACAAGAAGCAACAAAAATATGGTTCTACAGAAGGATGATAAGAATATTATGGATGGAACGTGTAAGAAACGAACAAATTAAGGGAAATAGAAACAAAAAAAAACATATTTATGTAGAATCAGAAAGAGTTGATATTTCTGGTAGATAATAAGGAAAGAAGTTTTGCAAATTTTGTCTCTCAAAGAAGATATCGAAAGCAAATAGGACAGAGGGAAACAGTGAGTAAAGTACATGAAGATAGCAAAATCCAAAGTAGAAGTGATAGTAAAAAGATAAATATTCCTAAGAATTACAAAGGATAGGAAGTTGTGGAGGCTCGTGATCGCTATCATTTTGAAACGACATGGTGTATACTAGAGGATGGGACAGTAAAATTTCTGTAGGTATAAAAATGCTATCTGAATTCAAATGTTAATCTAGCATTAGTTTACTGAACAATTCATTTAAGTATATGTAAGGAATAAATGAGGTGAAGTTTTATACACTTTAACTGGATTTCCGTTTAAAGGATTTGGGGGGGGATATTATTTTAGATCAGAAATTCTCTTTAGTATATGCTTTAATATTCGGATAGTGGCATGTGCAGGTAGTGTAGCAGTTATCGGCGTGGAAATTGTTTGGTGAGTTGAGATGTACGCGGAAGGTGCAAGGGATATGGACTTGGAACAAGAAATCAGAGAGCCGAGTTCGATTTCCAGTTGGATTCGTTCCGTTCATTTACGCGCAAATACGATTAGACAACGTATTGATCCATCTCCTCTCCCCAGCTATATGTTAAATAGTAGGACTTGTTGTTCGGAAATATTATTATCATTCTCAATAAATTGTTAGTGAAGTATTTACTTGCAAAAAAAAAAAGAATTATTTTTATAATCCAAAATAACTTTCGGCGTTATATAACTGCTTATTAAGCAGTAAAAAAATATCACTCAGCCAATTAATGTCATAGAATTTTCAATTTCAGTCTAGTCCACTGCATTAAATTTTACAGAAATGGCCTTTGTAAAAGGCATGGATACATTTATCTTCTCCCTCCAGCTGAGTCTTTGGTAGGATGTTAAACTTGTTGTGGATTCCGGGATGAAATCCGGTCTCAAATGAATGACAAACGCAGGAATGAAATATAGCGAATAAATGTATTGACGTAATAATACAATTGGTAATACGGTTAGTAGATAAAGAAATGCGGTTATTAGCAATAATAATATATATACAGTCTGGGAAATTCAGTATCGAAGTAGGACTTCCTTCTGAGTCTACGTGCTCGCTACTGTGACTCCTACAAAGCGGTTACCACACTCTCGCACTCTCTCACTGTCACTCCCGAGTATTCACCGGCAGCAGTACATGTACACACTGGGCGGATCCACTTGTATAAAAAGGATGGACCCCTTAACAAAACTAACGCCTCTGAGGGAGAGATTGGAGGAGCGTGGGGTCACCTCTTGATTGCTGTTGTTCCAAGGTCCACCTGTTAGGGTCAAAGGTTTGCACAAACAATGAATCCCCAAACAAAACACTATGATAAGTATAAAAATATATTTTTATAATAAAAATACCAGCAATATTTTTTTAATATGAAATAGGACCACCAATACATTTTATCTGTAATTGAAGGTATACAATTTCACTCAAATTTCGGTATAGAGGGTTATATGCAGCTAAACAAAATCAATCAACCAAACAACTTGAAATAATTCTTTCATTACATTAATCCATTTAATATCCAACAACTTCTTAAATCAAGCTGTATTTCAAAATATACTTAAAAAAAACAACATAAAAATAACACTGTTTCTAGTTATGTTATTCCCATGTACATGCATAATCACAAAAGCTGAGTACCATCTACTATTTATTCACTTGTGCAAGTACAATAACATATATCCTACTTTTATTACTTCAGAGCTCCCAAGGATATTAACTTTTGACATTAAACGATGCATAAGGAGTTGATGTGCCGTTTAACAAAAAAATCAGTCAATCTCCCTTGTCATATGTATCATTTTAGTTTCCTATTTTTAGCGGCCTGAATGTCCAAGAAAAAAGAACGTTAAACATAAAAATGTCTTTAATAAACGGTAAATGTTATTTAATACTGTTTATTATAAACAGAGCATTTACTTACATAATTGTATCTATAAAAAGAACGTTAAACATAAAAAATGTCTTTAATAAATAAATTGACGGACTTTGTCCATTTCTTAATATATATATATATATATATATATATATATATATATATATATATATATATATATATATATATATACTGTATGATATACAAGATTTCAACATATAATCTAAGATTTGAATGTTACATCAAAAGAGAACATCTGTAGGAAAAAGCTAAATCTTAGATATGTTGAACATTGTATATCAGTAAGGTAATATAATAGATTTGGTACTCTGCGTCATTTTTATAATCCCAAATACTTGTTGTGTCCCATAATTATGGAGCACCCTGTATATATATATATATATATATATATGTGTGTGTGTGTGTATGTGTGTGCGTGTGTGTGTGTGTGTGTGTCTGTGTGTGTGTGTGTGTGTGTGTGTCGGACGTCACTGAAGATACAGCGAAGCAGTCTGTCTGTGGATGACAATATGTATATGCTACACGAAAATCTGGTTGAGCTCTCTTGAGAAAAGAGTAATTTTAAAAACAGTGGCTCCTACTGCTATTAACGCATTGCTCTTCAACTGAATTGAGCTCTCCGGGCCATTGCCGTATTTCGTATAGGAAACGATAAATTTCCCTTTCTCTCTGCTGTGCAACGATAGCCTAGGGGTAGGATCTCTGACTGAAGCCAAATCGGCCGGGTTTTGATCCTGAATTGAAGCACTCGGACATCTAACCACACTGAAGAGCTATGATACAGCGAAACAGTCTGTTTTCGGATGAATATATATATATATATATATATATATATATATATATATATATATAAAAAAAGAAGAGGGGTGCCGCAAACGTTTTTGGTTGTAATGTGGATTTATTGAGAAAAAATATTATACTTTGTTTTACATAATTTCACGACACGTGTTTCTGGTCTGGTCTCGCAACCGTCTTCAGGTGAAAGTGGAGATTTTTACATATTATTAAAAATAATTAATTTTTCTTCATGTTCAATCTTCACGCAGAACTCTTCATTGACAATTCTAGAAAGAAAATTCGGATTGCCAACACACAAACAGAATGTCTCATATCGAGAATATTCCACATTGAACATGAAGAAAAAAAAAAAAAAAAATTAATTATTTTTAATAATATGTAAAAATCTCCACTTTCACCTGAAGACGGTTTGCGAGACCAGACCAGAAACACGTGTCATTGAATTATGTAAAACAAAGTATAATATTTTTCTCAATAAATCCACATTACAACCAAAAACGTTTGCGGCACCCTCTTCTTTTTTATATACATACTTTTCTCTCGTTGGAACCACTACAACATATTTCTTTTATATATATATATATATATATATATATATATATATATATATATATATAGTTTATGCAAATTTAGGTAATCCGTATGGGTAGACCTGAGGAGGATGATATCCAGAGAGCTCAATGTAAAATTCAGAGCAGATATGTTTGAATGAAAGACAGACCACGTTAAGATTCCATGTAATAAGCTATTTCACCATAACCCCTTTAACAGGTTTCTGGATCATCAGACTTTACTTCCAAAAGCTGAAATGAAAAATGAAAAGAAATTCACACGTTTTTTACGGACCTCATCAAGTATACGCAAAGTTAACGAAGTGAGGAAGTGAGGTGGGAGAGAGGATATGAGTGTGTCATATGTATCATTTTAGTTTCCTATTTTAACCCCAGTGTGTCGGCTGGATGTTGCTCAAATCTAACGCGTCTCGTCTCTAGATAAAGGTGGTTAAGGGGTGAGCGATAAGGACTACATTAAGGAAGACGCGTTACAACAGCCCCAATAAATTACACTCTTTATATATATATATATATATATATATATATATATATAGATAGATAGATAGATAGATAGATAGATAGATAGATATAACACGCCTACACAATGAAAAGAATCAACATAGAAAAAAACACTCAAAATTTTCGAGCCTCCATATTTTCTGATGTAACGAAACAAAAAGCAAAACGTTAAATCAAAGTTCCTTATTTAATCATATATCCAGTGTACATAAGAGATTTAAGGCCACACTGAAGACCGTAAGATTAAATTTATTAATAAAAAAAAATATCTATTTGATATAACCGCCTTCAGGTACAATGATGGCTTGAATGCTGGACCGGAATCGTTCATATGCACTCATCATATGGCGACTTTCAGGGTATTATCAGTCGCATTGTGGGGATATTGATTAGTCCACCGTTCACCAAAGCCCTACATGTCAAAGTGATTTAGGTATGACGAGTTAGGTCGCCACATATTTGGTCTGATGTAGCCGTGTAGATTAACCACCATTCAATCTTAGGTACCACAGCTTTTTGAGTTGGTGTAGGAATGTTATCAGAAAGAGCAATACAAATACAGAAGGATGTTTATTTGTGTTTTAGAGATTACGCAAAGGCGTTCGGTAAAGTATACCACAAAGATCTGTTGGAACTGCTCAGTAATCTTGATATATTTGTCAAAGATATAAAAATAATAATAAAAACGTATACTGGCAGCAAACGGCCCGCATGCTGGTAGAAAATCTATTCAGTAATTAAAGTGGTGTAAGACAAGGATGTGTCCTCTTACCGGACTTATTCAATCTATACAGCCTAGCGATTCTGATGCTTGGTTTGGTTTGGTTTGGTTTGTTTTACGGTATATCAACCTCAATGGGTTATTTAATGCCAACAATATTTTTTATTGTTGGTAATATTTTTTTTTTTCAAAAATGTATTCCTGGTATTTTTTTTTAAAATGTATAGCTGATATTTTTTTTTCCAAAATGGATAGATAATAATTTTTTTCCAAAGATTTATAGCTGGTAATATTTTTTTTTCAAAATTTACTGCTGGTAATAATGTATTGCGAGTAATAATTTTTCTTCAGAAATTTATTGCTGGTAATAACTATTTACAACGTATTCCTGGTGTTAAAATCTATTTTTACACTTTCAGAGCGCTTTAACGACAGTTTGGGGCTAACTATTTATCCATTGCTGGGACCCTAACAGGTGCTACCACTCCGGGTCAGGGTGGACCTGAGAACACCAGAAATTAAGAGCTGGTTCCACGCTCCTCAAAACCTCCTCATCAGAGGCCTTGCAGTTGGACGTAGTTTATCGTCTTACCCAGGACACGGTTACCGTTTATCGTCAAACACAGGACGGGGCGATTCTGAGGGAACTAGAATTCCTACAATATTCATTGACAGCCACAGTTTTAACAAGAATATAAGGTATGCAGATGACACATTGTTGACAGTAGACACAGAAAGAATGTTTACAAAAATTCATACAGAATGTAATGACGGAAAACGAGAAGAAATGGTTGTTAGCAAAAGGATAAACCCAAAGTGCGAATTGAAAATCGCAGGTATGAAAATCAAACAAATGCGGAAATTTAAATATCTAGAGAGTTTTTTAACAGAGGACGGAAGGAGCGACACTGATATCCGAAGTCATATTGGGAAAACCAAAGATGCATTCTAAGTTAAGCTAAGCAACGTACTAAAAAGTAGTGAAAAAAATCACTAGAAACAAAGAAAAGAATACTAAACTGCTATGTGATATTTGTCCTCCTGTGTGGCAGTGAGTGCTGGACGATCTACTCAAAGATGAAAAGAAGACTTGAAGCAACAGAAATCTAGTTCTACAGAATGATACTGAGGATAACATGGAATATGGGAGTAACGACGTTTTGGAGAACATGGGGAAAAAGGAGGCTAATACTTGACATCAGGAAGAGACAGTTGAGTTTTCTAGTATATATAATGTAGGATGGCTTGGAAAATCTGATACTCACGGGATAGGTAGAGAGCAAGAGGAAAACAAATCATAACATTCTTAATGAGTTTGTTAAATGAATGGCGGGAAAGGGAAGGGGAGAAATAAAAAAGACAAAGTTTATTAAGAGATATAAGGGACAGAAAGTTGTGGAAAACCATGATCGCCTAAGTCCTGGTATGTTATGACGCTTAAAGAAGCAGTAGAGTCCTGTTGAAACAGATATAGACCTCCAGTCGTATAGAAGGTTTATCTAGAGCTAACCAGCTGTTTCAAGTATTTAAGTGTAACCATCAGCATCCAATCGAAGACCCTGTTGTAAGAATTAGGATGACCATAACGTGAACTCTATTACTCAAAGTCCCTAAAACCATATTGTGGGGTAAAATCAAAATTATCTGCACACAACGACCTCTTAGTTCACCTTTTGATCCTGGTTGATTTTTTTTTCTTAACGGAGTATGCCATTTTTTTCTGGGTGTTGAAACTTGTTCAGTAATCATTTTGCTCGGAGCAAGCGTTGCTCTTGTGTGTGTGCAGGCACGAAATGCGATTTCCTCATCACATATTTGTACCGAATGCTCTCATGCTCCGCATTGTGAATTGTGCCCTGGGACACCTGGAGATTTCTTGCAATGGCCCTCGTGGATCTGCACCCGCTGTCAGGATTGTGGTGTACCGATACAGTTCAAATGCCGCACATTCATTTTGTGCTTCGCTACAGTGGAAGGTAAAGGCTTCCAACTGCCTCTGAATTTTGTGTACAGATGATCTGGTGATTTCCAAAAACGTACACTCTCAATATAGCTGTCCTTTATAGTAAGTTGTTTCATCTTATGTGTTAACTGATAATTCGCCATTGATGGTCTGAAAAGATAAAAGTACATTAATCTTCAAATTCCCTTCAAGAACCATCAAGAGAACAGTGAATAAGTTTAAAAAAGAGGGAACAGTCGAGAGGAAAACTGGATCAGAAGGTCACAACAGGAAGAGGGGTCATCATTTCTACTTAGAGCAAAATACATTGTTATTGTTCAAATAGTGTTGTAAAAACTCTCGAAGTATTCCAGTAAGATATCTTTAATCATTTCTAAGATACAACGGTTCAAAGCTTAAACTTTAATTGATATAAAATAACAATTCTTCAGACTTTTCAAGGCAAAAATGAAATCGAAATGTCTTTGTTGTTATAGTTACATTAAAAAATCCAAATTTAAAAAGATAGACGCTTCTGTCTAAGCCCTTTTCTGATTAATGTAAATTTCCTTTATACTAAGAAATTTTTTTCATGTCGACAATACAGTTAAATTCCCAGATCAATTCTGTGGATAAGACAAATTTAATCTAATAACTGGACAGATTTGTGTTACATGGTTTAGACAATCTTTACTGTTACACAATTTAGAC